TCTTTCTTTTTATTTTCGTGTTTTTTTTTTTTTTTTTTTAGTATATATATATATATATATATATATATATAGAAGCGGGGGAGTGGAATCGGTGTCTCACAAAAATCTGCATCAAGAACAATCGCAAACAGCAGCATATACCCATGAATATAACCTCTAAACCACAATGGCTCAATCTCATCACATATCGACAACCAGTAAACTACAACTCACTATCCTAATAAAAGGAAAGCTATGTCGGTCCGTATACTCCGTAGTTTTCGCACATGGATGCATATCATGATGATCATATCAGAATGCATGAGGTTTCAAACAATGGGTGGGGAAACACATGCGGTACTAGACTAAAAGTGAGTCTAGCCATTCAGAGTTAGCAAAGAGTGGTAAAAATGATGCGAACAAAACTCTGAATGTATGATCCATTACATGATTCTCAAGCCCCTAAGTGAGATAAATTAAGTCCAGATTAAGTTCAAGTATATAAGATTAAGCTCAATTCATCTAAATTTCAAAGAGATAGGGACTACTATAAAGTGATCAAGTGATGGATTTTCCTGAACTTCCAAGTTATCGAATAGTGCTAAAATGGTCCCAAGGCAATCAAATCAAACATGGTGCAATTCCCTAAGAAAAGATCATAGTTCTCAAACAACATTTTGACTCAATAAAAGATACGATTTTGACTCGATAAAACAGACTCAACGAAAGCAACAAAAGTAACAACCAAAGCAAACTCGATTAGTAAACAAATGACATCCTCCCCCCCCCCCCCGACTTGCTTCACACCGACTCGGAGTGAAAACAATTCAAAGAAAAGATGCCATACACACTCAAAAGAAAGCAAGAGAAAAATAAAGAAATGGTAGGAAAATCAGAAATACCTGGTGGGTTGTCTCCCACAAAGCGCTTGTTTTAGGTCGTAAGCTTGACCGCTTAACACAAAATATTAATCATAAGAATCAAAAAGTTGTGCCAATGGACCTTTTGTCCTTCTCCTGTTAGTGAAAGAAATGAGATGTGCCAAGTAACACACAATTATCCATGGTAAAGAGATAAAATTCACATCAAGAAAAATTACTACAAGTGTAGCATATACTTTGAAATATTCCTTGATGGTTGAATGCTCATGAGGATGAAATGCATTTGGAGGAAAAATAAAGTCAATTTCCTGGTTACAAGAGGGTTGAACAAAATAATCAACTTCATCGCCATTAATCTCATATAGCACAATATCTCCATCCATATAATCAACCTCAGGATCTTCATTCTCATGCAAAATCTTATCTTATCTTGAGATCATGAACATTCAAAGCACAATGATATTCAATATCAAAACATATTTCATGGTAATCCCTAGCAAATTTTGCTGCTCTTAAAGTATCTAGTCGTTTAGACTCACATATCAAATCAAAACATTCATCAATGATCATGGAAGTATGCAAACTAGAAGTCACATATTCAATGCATGACATTTGAATATCTTCAACATCATGAATTTCAAGGGTTGAAACGCATGTACCTTCTAGTTCGCTTGGTGGAACCCAATATATTACCTTTTCAAGCGCATGAGCATCTTGTTCTTCATAGAATGTGACTTCTCTTCCTTCACATGCTGCCCGGTGTGATAAGAGATTCAACCGGATCAAAATCGCTAAATCACTCCTTACCAATGTTGGATGTTCGTTGTGAAGTTCATCCAACTTCACTTTTTGTTCCGGTGTAAGAACTCTCTCATCAAACGGTGGCTCCACATATGGTTCATCATTTTCTTCTTGCGGCCAATCATTGTATTGCATGGCATAAAAAAAACAAATGAAAGTTAGTAATAAATAAAAATGCTCTAGACTAAAAACTAATCCTAAATCCTTAGGTAACGCAATTGGTCCCCGGCAACGGCGCCAACTTGATTACTCGAGTAATTACCCGATACACTTAACCGCAAGGTAGTATATACGGGGTCGATCCACAAGAACCAATGGTACACTAAAGACTTCCGAGACTCGTTCTTAGCTAAAGCGAAGAGTTGTTTTGTTTGGGTTTTCAAAATTATAAATAAAAATGCAAGTAATTTAAACGATTAAACTTATGAATTAAAGACACTGGGCATTAGGGTATTTCAGAGATCAACGAATAATGGAAACATGAGACAAGGAATTCAATGATTAAGCACCGTTCTTGAACATGAACACATTTAGACTAATTCTCTTTCAAGACATTAATCACTAAATTTGACTACTCGATTACTAAACTTTCGCATGTAATTTCCTAGTCAAATTCGCATTATCAAACAAGTTCATTAAGTTCACAATGCGTCCTAACGTCAACTTTCATTGGCTAGGAATACATTGCTCAATTCACATTCTTTCAGGCATTCTATCGAACACTTTTGATGCATAGAAAAACCTATAATCTACAACAGGGTGATCAATCATATTCTAGCATTAAGAACATGTGAATCAAAGAACCTAGAGAATGAGAATTCCTAACAACAATCAATCCATTAATCCATTGAATCTCCTAATTAGAACCCTAAAACCCAATAGGATAACTACTCACACATAGAAAAAGAGATAACAAAAATCAATGAAGAAAACATGATAAAATTGTAGAAATAACAAGAAAGGATTTAGAAATCTTCTCCAAGTGTCAAGAGGATGGATTCATTTGCCCAAAGTTGTTTACAAACCAAAGAACTAAGTTTAGAACTGAAAAATATCCAAGATAATGTCTCAAAAGTCGAGCTTAGGGTTTTAAAACAATAGGAGACGAGCCGGGTCGGATCTGGAGTGACTCGGGTCAAATCTGGGCCAAAAATACGTCTGGGGAAGGGATCGATCGATCCGGTGGGTGGATCGATCGATCCCGAGTCACTGGAAACTGCTTCTCGTCCGTCAGAGGATGGGATCGATCGATCCACAAGTGGATCGATCGATCTAGATCTTCTGGTCTCCAACTCCGCAACTGCTTCAAAAGCTCGGCAGAATGACATGTCTTCACTAATTCGGGTATAACTCTTGAATGCACCGTTAGATTTCCTTCAAACCACTTGTAAACTCAATCTAACATCTTCATCTAACTTGTATCAAAAATTCAGAAAGATCTAACGGTGGAAAGTATTCCATCTGAGGCCAAACGTCTGACACTTCTAAACGAAACTGCATCTCCAAAAGTGTGTTTATATCCCAAAACAGCTCGTTTTCCTCCGAAGCAACCTAAAACCTGTAGAGACTCGATAAACGACTAAAAGACTCTAAAAAACACTTTGACTCGATAAAACATATGATATAAGAAAGAAAACAAAGACTCAAAACCGATAAAAACACAACATATCATCTGCCTCACGATGTGCTTGGAGAGTTGCTTGTTCTTCTATCTTGCGGTTGGCTTCCTCAAGCTGTGACTGCAAGGAAGTGAAAGCAGAACTGCTTCCTGGGTACTTCCGCTTCCCATTGATGTACCTCCCTAAGCTTCCCATTCCGAAGTATACCCCTCTCTCGTTTGTGACAGTTACTGCAAAAAAAGACAAGAGGATTAGTTCTTAAAAGATGAAGTAAGTGATAATCAATATTATTAATTGAGAATCACTAGATATTAAATAACCTTATGAAAGATACAATATTACATAAGATGCCATTGGTTTTTAGTGTTTTTAAATAAATTCATTAAGGGTACAATAGATAATCACAAATAATATATTTAAATAAAATATAGTAAAATTATTTTAAGTAATTATTAGTTTCCAAAAAATTAAACTCACTTTCTCTCTCTTATTAATTATGGACGAAAATATTAAATTAATTTCAAAAAAATTATTAACCAATGAAAATTGAAAAACTAAGATTTGATATCCAACTTACATTTTATCTAAACCAATCCTAATAGATTATTCTATATCAAAAATACAAATAAAAATATCATTTTAATTCAAAATTAAAACACTACCGTTTAAAAAGTTTTATCAATGGAGGATTTTAAGATTACATGACGAGATAGGAGAGGAATATAAATTAAAAATCAAACTAAATACTCAACTGGTATGAGTTCGAGTTATGAGCACTACATAAAATAAATTTGTTTACACACATAACCCTACACGTACATTTTCAATTACACATATTCTATTTATGATGGACACAGGACCATAATATTTTTATTTCAAGTATACGAGACGGGTTAATGGACGAAGAATTTATAACAGATACATGACGGGATAGGTTTCCCGTTCCAAAATAGTTACGCCTAGCTAATATACATGAAATAACTCAAACTAAAACCGAATCCATATCTTATTTAACACATGTAATCAAACTGTTTAAAATGTTTTGCTTAGTTTAGAAAATAAAAACTTAACATCACTTAACTTTCGCAACTAAATTATATCTTAAATATAATTTCGCACGTACGTTTAGGTCTGGATTTTAAAATATAACTATGCACTAACGCAACAGAATTTCTTTTATTACGAAGTTCACTAACACAACAAAATAATTTATATTTTTAAATTTTATATAATAATTTCTATAAAAAATATTTATGTACATACGTGTGGATCCAGATCTAATACACTAAAATATATATCATAAAAACAACAAAATAATCTATATTGAATTAAAATTTGTTATAATTTTTTAAAAAAATATGAAACCCGCACGTATGTGCGGGTCAGGATCTAGTATATATTTAAAAAAAGAGGATTAGCCACATTACATGAAGGAAGATCTCATCATCCTCCTCTTGAGATAGTTCTGATCGACGGGATGTACCGTCAGACCCTTCATCATTCTCAAGGGCAGCCAACTTAGCTTCCTTGTTCTTCAAATATGCCTCATGAATTTCCTGCGCCTTCCTATCAACAAAAGTCCCATCTTTTTTGGTATAAGTCCTAAGGAATATCTCACCAATAGTAGGTGGTCTTCCCAGCTCAATTTCCTGAAATGTTGTTCACAAAAAATTCAAAATCTTAAAAAAAACCATTATGTAAATAAACAAGAGTGCTTGATGTAACTTACCATCTCTTGCTCGATTTGTAAGAAAGACTTTGACCCCGATAAATGCTTTTGAGGACCAAGACCATTACGGTCAGACATTCGAGCTGCTGATGTGGTTGAAATCTTGGCAATGGCTTCTTCTGTGTCCTAATACTCACACATTTCCTTCCACAATGTCTTCTCAATCCATGGCGGTCTCTCATTGGCTCGTTTTGAGCAAGCCTTAGAAACCATGTCCTTCATACGCAGCCCACATATTTTGTAGAATTTCTCTTCAATTACACTGGTCAGTGATGGATGCCATGTGTGTGTTTTCTACAAAACAAGAGGAGAGTTTGATGTTAGTGATCAAACAACCAAACCAAACCAAATAGATACAGATAAGAGAAGTTAATTTACCGCGAATTCGAGGAAGTATTTGTGTCTTTTTTCAGAAGGTACACAGCTCCAACTGTAATATGGCCCATTAAACTTGTTTGTGAATACCTTTGTGATCTTCTAGGTCAGCTTACCATCGTCGTGACCAAACCTACAATTACATAAACCAATTAGCAAGCTTACCATATACACACCTAATCCTAATCTACTCAGCTTACCAAACACACACATATTACTCAATATTAACCCTAAACCTAATCTACTCAGCTTACCATATACACACCTAATCTACTTAGCATATACACACACACTACTCAATATTAACCCTAAACCTAATCTACTCAGCTTACCAATTAGCAAACCTAATCAACTTAGCATCTATAGTCCTACACACATATTACCCACAACTTAGCAACTCTCCCTAATATACTCAGCTTACCATAGTGTTTCAGGCTCAAATGTGGAAGAGATGACCGTTGTATACTTCTCACGGCCTGGCTAGAGAAGCAACTCATGGAGAGTAGCAAGCGAATCTTCCGGGAGAGTTGATTCCCTTTCATAATCAGACCAAACTCAGCTTCCTCATCGTCATCTTCTTCCGCATGTGAGTTTTGAGCTTGAGAGCTGTGATGTGATACAGAGGCTCGAGGTGGAGGATTTGACGCTTGTCGAGGTGGAGGATTTGACTCTTCCCGTTGAACCGGCGCTGGAGACTGATTGGAGGCTTCCCGTTGAACCGCCGCTGAAGATTGTTGCGACGTGGAGGCTAGACGATGAACAGATCCTCCAGATCTAGGTTGAGTCGATCCGTATGCTCGAAATGGAGTCGCTCCAGATCCGCGAGGAGAAGGAGATCCGCGAGGAGATCCTTCGCCTGACTGGAAAAGTTGCATCGGATGAGGATAGTCCCTTATGGTTGGACCCGTTAGAGGCTGTGCAATCGGCTCTTGTTCAGAATCTTGAAGAGGGGCTTGACGATTCACCGGCGTGAACTCGTACTGGCTGGGAAGACCCCTAGGTCTTCGATTCAAGGTCTTCGATTAAACTCGTATAGGCTGGGAAGAAGTGGGTCAATTTTGGTGGGGGGGGGGAATCTTCGATCCCCTTCCTCTTCCTCTCTTGCCTTTTCCACCATGAGTCTTCATCATTCAAGCGTTCAATTGAGAGATTGAGAGAATTGATGAAGAATTAGGATCGAATCGGTAAAAGGGATTAGGGTTAGGGTTCGTCGAGAGAGAAGGAAAGGGGATTAGGGTTAGGGTTACGCGTGAAAGAGTTTATATACTCTGGGTTAATGGGCTGTTATTACTGGATCAAGCCCGTAAAAACCCAATTAATTCCCTAAATAGTATAAATGAGTCGCTAAATAGTAGCTGTAACTGGCGACCTATTAGCGACTAAGTTAATCAGTCTCACATTCAAGACTGATTAGCGACTAATGTTTAATATAGACTACTTAGTCGCTAATACGTCCCGAATTAGTCGCCAACGTTAACGATTACTTATTCAGTCGCCGAATTAAGTCGCTAATACCATGTTTTCTTGTAGTGTATATCTATATAGGGCTACAAAATGACAGTCTACAAAAAAATTATCAAAGGCCGTTTGAGAGCAACGGCTTTCGCCCATTTTCCAAGATTCCCTACTGCTGCCCCCCGTGGGAGAATGAAGGATTTGTCTAGCTAATAAACATCATCCTTCAGTCCGCGCCGGCATTGTCTTTTTTAAAAAAGTCTGAAAGTAGGGGCTATTGAAAGCGGCGAAGAACAAATAGAATTTGCTACAAAAGCCACTCAATAGGGCTCATCAGGAATCCGAACCTTCATGAAGTTGAGCTAGTCACCCGAGAAATGAAACTATAACTTAGCTCATATATGGCAAAATTGTCGGGCAAAGAAGGAAGCAAAAATATCATATCGTACATTGGGATTTTGTTCTTTATTGTGATATAATCAGTGCTTCAGTCTTTTATGGATAAATGAAGAAGTATAAGCCGGTGAACTAGATGTACATATCTCCCATATCGTAGATTCATAAAGTTTCGTGAAAAAGGTAACTAGAGATACAAATATGGAAGCCGAGCAAATTCATAGTTGCTACCTATCATATTTTAATATTCAAAACCTTACAATTGCACAAATAATGCATTTTGTTTTGAAAATCAAATCTACACAAAATATCTAAATTTTAGAAACTAATTAGAACTAAAAAATAAAATAAAATTGTTTTAGAAAGATAATAGATTTAAGAATCAATTATGGATTTGCCATTTTTTGAGATGGCATTTGTGGATTTTGCCCTTTTTTGAATAGTTTATGGATTTTGCCCTTTTTCAGGCTACGAAAATATGATTTAACATACGTTTTATTCGTTATGTTTGGGTTTAGTCGGTTGTGGTTGTTCTTAGGGTTTAGTATTTTGTATAAACTACGTATTTTTACCAAAAAAAATCCAAAATACGTACATTTTTAAGTGTTAGAAAATGGCATATCCGTAAGATTTTAGTAAAAATGGCAATTTCAAAAGATTTCTATGAAAAATGGCAAAATCAACAATACTCCTTAGATTTAATCTTTTATTTTTGTTCGTTGTAATACAGAGAGAGACTAAGGTATGCCCAAATCTTTATGGTTGTGGAATGTGATTCTTCCACTTCTACAGCGATCGCTTGCACTTCTCATGGAGCCAGGCTTTCCACTACTGTAGATAATTAATCACTAGATGGTAGAACTTCTGAGCTTTGTGAGCTGAGTAGGCAACCATGGTAACAACCACAATGTTATAAGTGTGGCTCCACAGAAACTCCAAACCAAGTCGGCGCTCCTCGCCGTAACTGTGAGAGGGCCCCCGCTGCTCCTCTTTTCTTTGCTTGTAGTTTGTGGTGTTTGTTTCTACTAGCTTTGGTGGATCGACGGCGAGGTTTGTTTTTCTTAGTGTGGTAGATGGTCTTCATAGCGTGGCTGATTCGATGGTCCTTTGTGTGTCGTTCATCCTTTCCCAGCGGTGTCTAGAGAAGGTCTTTCTGCCTTCGACAGATCAAGAATTGCCTTTGTCTCTTTGGTAATTGTTCTCCGGTCTGTCACCTTAGGTTTTTGTTCTCTACACTTCGAGTAAGCTTTCTTTCCCGTCTTCCTCTTCCATCGTTTAGCTTAGTTTAGGTGTTTCGTGTGGTAAGTAGTATTGTTGGCCTTTGATTGGGGAGCCTCCTGGTTTGATGCGAGTTCTGATTTGGGGTTTGTGGAAGCGGTCAGAGCGGTTAATCTTTTGGGTTTTGTGATTTTAGAGAAGATGTTAGTAATTCTGGATTTGTTTGATCTACGGTATGGCTCGAAGAATAAGGTCTCTGAAATTGCTCTTTCTTGTCCTGAGTTTTGTTGTTGTTCTTGTGCTTCAGGGTTTCTATGCCGTCAGTGTTGCTTGGTTGTGGGTTGTGATTTTTCTGCCCATCCTTGCCTTTCCTCGCTCCCTTTTTTTTCTCGCACAATCACTGTCTCCCTTTGGGATCGGTTCTTTACTTAGTAGAAGGTTCGTGCTTATTGTTTGGTTTTGGTAGTCTTCAAGTTTTTAGAGATTTCCTCTTCTTGGTGTTCACGGTGTATGTTAGCTGTCTTGATCCTTCGTCGCTCTCGTTCCTGAGATTGGTGATTTTTGAAAAGTTTTACCTTGCTCCTTATCCCTGCTTTCGAGATCTGTTTAGATCTGATCGCTTTTTGTAGGATTCTAGCTAAACGTTAAGTTACGCTTCCGTCGTCGTCGTCCCATCCGGAAACTTGTTCGAGGTTCTATGATTTTCTATGAATGCTCTTTGCTTGCTGGGTTATGATGTCCTTGGTTCTCGAGAGATTGGCTCTCATCGTGATAGGAGGTGGTGACTAAAGTCTGCTTCAATTTTATTAAACGGGAGAAAAATAACTCCCCTATTCTGGTACAGAAGAATAGGGATCTCCGCTCTCTTGGTTCTATCATTCTCTTAAGGTTTTTGCCTAGTTGCCTCTGCTCTTAGTTTAAGGAGTCGTCCTCCTTCGATTATTGTTTGATAATATTTGCTTTGTATTTCTAGTTCTGTTTACTTTTTGCCTCCCTTCTATAGGGCTTAGTTTTTTGGGGAATTTCCTTTTTCCACCGACAATGTCTTCGTGGACTTTTAGTTTGTCCGCCGACTTATGTTTCTCTTGTTTGGGCATATGTATTTCTCCCTTGGTTCCACAACAAGTATCTTAATAAAATTCAAGTTGACAAAAAAAAATAAAAAATCTTCCGGTCTCACCCAACAAATAAAGTAGATAATATTAAAATGGATGAAACAGAAATTGAAATAGAAAGAAACCTTCACTACAGGAAATAGGAGTATTAATAGCGGTACAAAATAGCGTTTTTGATGGTTTTGCTATAGTTGAGTTTTGAGAAAATTTTTATAGCGTTTCCGAAAAGGCAAAGCTATGGTAAGATGACCGCGAAAATATTTTGAAGTGGCGCCTAGTTTTTGGTTTTACGATAGCATAGATGATAATGAAAACGTTATCGTAAAGTTAAGGGGGAAAATAAAAATTTCATTGCCTCCAAAATTTTTTTAAGTAACAAAATAATAATAAAAAAATAGAGAAAAAAAAGAATTAGAAGAGAAATAGATGGATTAAGTTAAATTACTCCTCACACTTTGGCAATCTCTTCTTTCTCTCTTATCTCTCTTTCTTTCTTCTTCTCCGACTTGAGGTTTTCGGCGATGGGAGACGAGAAACCGGCGATTGTGATGGCCAAACGTGAAAGAGATCGAGAGGCTTGATTCCCGTCGCTGATTCCGGCGACAAAGACGCAATCCAGCCACGAGATCTACATTTTCTTTTCACCTGATCTAGAATCTTGTTATTCGTTTTCTCATTTCAAGATTCATGTGAAAATAACAGCAGAATTGGATTGAATTAGAATTGGAATTGGATTGTGGTTTGATGCTTTAGCTATTTTCTGCAATCAAAATTTTCTGGAATTCTGAATTGATTTGAAGTTTATGACAGGCTGGTAATCAAAATTTGAGGTTTTGCATTTGATGAAGTTGTCACAGATTCAAGATTTGTGCTGATAGTTTTAATTCTCAATTGTTTTTTGATTCTTTGAAATGGTTTCTCTGAATCTGTCTAAGTAATTTTGATGTCAAGGGCTAAATTTGGATTTACTTCCTGTGTGTCATTTATCTTATAACTATTCTTGTTAATATGTATGTTCTAATGTGTCGTTGATACTTTTGGTCATCTGCTTTTGTGCGGTTTAGGTCTCGAGATAAGCAGAGGAAAGAGGCGTTGAAGATTTGGTGCAAGCTGCGACTCCATGGTCACAACTCCACCCCACGAATCCTCTTACATTGTACTCATCGTTCCTGCAAATCAATCAAACAGTTAAACTTCGTTTTCAGGTTAGAAGTTTGTTTCACTGGTATGGTAAGTTACCTAGTGGCAGCTAATTCTCTTCTTATATCTTGAAGAAGAAATTCAAAAAGAGGGTTAAAGATCATGGCATATTTTGTTCTTCCTCCTTGGATCCTTGTTCTTCAACTCTTTGTGGCAGTGATTGCAATTGTGGGTATGTTCCAAATCTGACTCTATCTCTGGCTTTTATGATCACTAAAACTCGTCTGACTAAAGATTCTTGTCTGCATTGGTTTTGAATTTTGATTGTTGATATTCTATTGTTGGTTTTTTCCTTGATGTACAGGATTCTACTCTCAAGCTGTTCGTCTAGTAGCAAATGCAGAAGTGACTGCACCAACAAGCCCGTTCCAACAACGATATATCAAGAAGATGAAGTTAGTTCATGTACGTTGGTTTATTACAATTAAATGGCTTATAAAGAATGCAACTTTTATCACCTACGATTTTTTTATCATATTGCTTATATCTTTGTATTGAATTGAAAAACTTGATTGCAGGAGCTATGAAGTCAAGCATCTACAAGAAAGAAGAATGGGTTCTCATATATTATGTACAGTGGAGAAAACACAACACGTTTGGATAGTCAATTCTATGAATCTGATAATTAAATAAATCTCAAGCTTTTTTTAATTCCCTTAGTGTGGATAATTTGGATTTAAAAAATTCTAAAAAATTCTCAAGCTTTGGATTTAATAAATTATCCAAATTATCAATCAGGGTATAGAGGGAATAAGTTTGAGGGTATCCAAATTATCAATTCAAATAGAATTGACTATCCAAATTATCAAAACTCTATACCCTGAAGTTTAATTATCAAAAGAATCATGATCTTTAATTATCAAAATTATCCAAATTATCAGATTCATAGGGTTAATTTCCTAAACCCTAACCTCTATACCCTACTTTTAGGGTATTGAAGTTTGAGGTTGAATTCATGATCTTTAATTTATATATCTTAGTGTTATTAAAAGTAGAAATATAAATGGATTAATGAATTTAACCACTTTCAAAATTCTAAACTTAAAACTCTAAATATTGAAACTTAAAAGCCAAACCCTAAATTATGAATCCTAACCAATAAACTTGATTCACACATAAAAACTATAAAATTTAAATATAATTATTTTTCAAATGAAGTTGCTTATGAGATATGTTTTCAAATAGTTTTATGATATACTCTAGTTTATCTTTTATCAATTTATCACATATTAGAAATTAATCTACTAATTAGAAAAAATAACATAAGAAAAACCTTTTTAAAATACAAATACGCTGACTTGTTTCTGATTGGCTAATTCTTAAAGGTGAGGATCACACCTGATTTGATATCCACCGTTGATAACAGTAAAATCAACGGACAGATTTAGTTCTCTCACTTCTCTACCTCTTAACATTCTCTCATCTTTCTCGAGAATACATTCTTTTTACGAGATCTCTGGCTTCCCCTTCCTCTCTCTTCTTGTTCGATTTTGTTTGATTTACTTGGTTCTCGGTTTCTTATGGGATTGTAAGTAAAAATATCAAATTTTGAAACGCCTCTATAATCTCTCTTTCTCTCCCTCGCAAGTTCTTCTCCGATTTGTGATAGTCTTGCCTGCTTTTGTTTTTGTTGTTGCCATAATCGAAGTTTTTTGTTCTCAATCTCCTGAGAAATTATGAATCATCTAGATGCAGCCACTCACTGTTGATAATCTTCCCTTGATTTGGTACTACTGGGTTTTATTTCTCGGCTACTAATATTCTTTGATATGTTTCTTAAATCGTGTAGTTAAACAGAAACCGTAGTTATTGTTATGTTTCTGGAGTCCTAATCGGGTTTCTTTGCAGACGACCGCCGTCATCGAAGCCCAACACATGATCGGAGTTCCACTTAACCAAATCATTCAAAAATAATTGCATTAACTATCCAATAATTCCCGCTCGCCCATCCTATCTCTAATTGCATCCATGTCAAATTTCCATCTCCTCTTTATTATGGTTTTTTATTTTTTTACTTTTTAAAGTTAAAAACAAAAAATTGTTTTGATTTTTTTATTTCTCGCAGATTTTAAATAAAATTCCAGAAGGAGAGATGCTCGTTCTGTGGAGATGAAGAGGCGCAATTGGAATTAATATTCAATGTTTTTAGAATTAATTCTAGACTTTAATGGAATTAAGATTTGAATTGTTTTGGATTTAATAAATGCAAATACCATATGTACTTTTACTTTTTAATTTTGTATTTTACTTTGTAATATAATATTTTATATTATGCATTCATATAATATAATAAAATATGATATTTTCAATATATCAATTTATCCAAAAACCTAATAATTATAAATTAAATATAATTAGAAATTAATAAAAACAAAATAATGTATATAATTTGTTTAAATAATGTATGTAGTATTGTATAAATACACAAATACAATCTTGTATAAAATACACAATATCTACGTATTAGAATATATATATATATATATAAAATTAAATATATTAATAGCAAAAAAGTGAGAAACGTATAACTTTTTTTCTTTTTATGCTTTAAAAAATATTTATCACATCTTATTTGGCACGAACGTCAATATCTACGAAAAGAATATTTTTTTTTTTTGATTCGACAAAATTAATACTCCCCTGTTCCTAAAACAATGATGTTTTAGTTTTACACACAAATTAAGAAAAAGTAACTTTTATATATTTTTAATTATTATTTTGTTAGTTTAATAATATTAGTTTTACTTCCTTCCTTCTACTATTGGTCCCAAACAAAAATAATAATGATGTTTTTACAAAACATCAATCTTAGTGGAACAAATAAAAAACCCAAAACATAAAATAACTAGGAACAGAGGGAGTATCAGTTTTTCTCGGGATCTGAACTCAATATTTGTTCTCTTCTCTCTCTCTTTCCCGTGATTACTGATTACTATGTTAATAATTTTTTTATTTTTGCGTACGTTTTTGAAACACGTAAGAGAGATTTTGAGGAATGGCGGCGAAGAAGATGTTTGGAGCGGCGGATGCGAGTATTTTGGTGACGGATCTTCGTCGGAGTTTTGATGATTGTGTGACTCGTGGTTATGAATGGAGAGTGACTCAGCTTAAGAAACTTTTGATTATTTGTGATAATCATGAGCTTGAGATCGTCGCGGCTCTTCGCGACGATCTTTGAAAACCTGAGCTTGAATCTTCTGTTTATGTGATTAGGATTCTTTTTCTCTCTATGCTCTCGCTTTCCTTAGATTATTTTTTTCGAGTTTTTAGAGAATTGATCGTGATTGGTCAATTTTTAGTTTGAATCTTTGAATTTTGATTGAAGATTCAATTTATTGTTATGGTTTAATCTGTGTGGTGACATTGTAGTATTATAATAATGGAGCCTTAGATCTGATATATAAATATTAATATACCCTTTATTTTGGAAAAAAATTTACACTTTAATTCTGAACTTATTAATCTGCCGTAATTCGTAATTTCTCGTAATCGAACCTTAGATCTGATATAGAAATATTAGTTAACCCCTAATTTTGAAAAGATATTTACCCTTCAATTCTGTAAAATAAATTTCTATTAATTCAAAGTAAAAGAAAAAATCACAAATCTTTTTCTATTGGTATACACATTTGGAATAAAAAAATTGTAATTCAACTATTTTATTTTCTTCTATTAATATCTTTGGGTCTCACCCAATAAATAAAGTAGATAATATTAAAATGGAAGAAACAGAAATTGAAATAGAAAGAAACCTTGACCCAGCCCAACACTACGTAATATCAATATATTATTGGCCAGTCTTGCCTAATCGCAACTTCTCTCACCAACCCAAAACCACACGCGCTCATTTATCACGTGTTAAACACGCACTCACACGTGAGTTGTGAGTTCGCTTATGCTCCGCGAGTAATACCCACACGTCTCTCTTGGGAGACCCAACAAAGGCCCACCTCCACTAAAAACAAAAGAAACTAAAGAGAACGCGTATATATATGCATATAGCGTCGTCTTCGTCACCGCAGCCCCACTTCATCACCATCACGTTCTTATCTCTTTCCAGCAGCAATTCATCTCAGTCCCAGCCGACCGGAGCTGCCGCTGCGTTGTGGTCGTGTTGTGATCAAGTCTAAGTGGTTGCGTTCGTCACCGGCTCATTGGGTAAGGATGCCTAACCTTATATTGGTCCCTTATCATGTTAGTTATGATTAATAAATTGGGTCTGGTTATTGAACGGAAGTTTTAGCATCGTCACGTGAAGTTGATCTGTGGGGTTTTGTTAAAGTGGTCGATGTCTATGTTAATTCATTGGGATGAAATTGTGGTTAATTATTAAACAAAGAACTTGGATCAATCTAAACCAGTAGTCCTTGTGTTGTCAAAGTCCAAAATCAAAACGTACGGATCTGTGTTGTGAAGAAGATGATAGCTAGCTTGGTTCAATTATTGGTTAAGTACTAAACCGGAAATCTAGCTTGGTCACGTGAATGGATTTGGAAGTTTTTCTGAGTTACGACAAGAGATATTAAATTATTAGGTGTGGGAGGTATGGTGTAGTAAACCAAATTCAATTATTCTGGATATGTGAATTGTGTTGTGTTTTGATAATCGTGGAAGAAGACGATGCTTTGTGTCATTATTGGGTTTGTAGGAATCGTTGGTTTGATTGTTAAACCGGAACATTTGGTCACGTAAATGTAATTGTGGTTTACGTGTAAGGGATTAATATTAATTTATTAAGTTGGTTTGATTTAATTATTAAACCATTTCTAAATAATTTATTATAGGAGATACCAAATTAATTAATCAAGATTTATAAATTTAATAATCTTTAATGTCAGGGGAGATGATTGAACCTAGTATTGATGTGGAGATCTTGCTTAGGCAAGAATGAGTTTTGTGTCATAGTTTGCATAATTGTGGAGACTATATGAGTGTCGTATTTTTTTTATGTGATTGTTGATTGTTGTGTAAAGGTAGTTTCGTGTATCGTATTTCCAGTGGGCGGAAAAGATCCTCTCACTAAGTAATTTTTTACTCACCCCTTTTTACCCTTTTTCTCCAGGTCAGGGTGAGAATTGTGAGTAGTCGCGCAAGTCCGTCTCTCTTGTGGTGTATTTCGAGAACCTCGGGTTATTTGCTTTTATTGTTATTTTCATATACGTTTTATTCAACGTTTTTCAACGATTTAAGTTTATTTTTAAGACAAGTTTATATTGAGTTTTTAGTAAAAGAAATGATTTTCGGAAAAAGACGACATGTTAATTTAAGAAAGTGGAATAAAGGAAAAGATAAGTAAGGTGAACGCACGCCGTCTCAATGTTGAGGGAGACGGGTGTAACATCTCTTCTCTTACATCACTCATACTAACACGCACATTCATTATCTTCTTTACCTTTTTAAAATAATATTTTATTCCTATTTTGTCCTTATTAAATTATAAAAAAATATATTATTATCGTTATTAAATTATTTTGTTTTACGTCTTTTCGTGTCATAAATATCTAATAAAATAACTACATACTTTCTAAAAAAAATTATTTTATCCTTATTTTGTCGTTATTATATTATTTTTCTTAATATTCTCTTTTTGACATCTCTTCATCTCTATAAATATTGTAACGCATGCTTTTTCTTATTATCAATTTCGAGGAAAAAAGTAAGAAACTTATCACTTTTTTTCTTTTTTATGTTTAAAAAAAAAATTATCACTTCTTATTTGGCACGAGCAACGTCAATATCTACGAAAAGAATATTTATTTTCTTGATTCAACAAAATCAATATCAGTTTTTCTCTTCTCTCTCTTTCCCGTGATTACTGATTACTGTGTTAATAATTCTTTATTTTATTTTTACGTACGTTTTTGAAACACGTAAAAGAAATTGAAGAATGGCGGCGAAGAAGATGTTTGGAGCGGCGGATGCGAGTATTTTGGTGACGGATCTTCGTCGGAGTTTTGATGATGGTGTGACTCGTGGTTATGAATGGAGAGTGACTCAGCTTAAGAAACTTTTGATTATTTGTGATAATCATGAGCCTGAGATCGTCGCGGCTCTTCGCGACGATCTTGGGAAACCTGAGCTTGAATCTTCTGTTTATGAGGTTAGGATTCTTTTTCTCTTTATGCTCTCGCTTTCCTCAGATTTTTTTTTTCGAGTTTTTAGAGAATTGATCGTGATTGGTCAATTTTTAGTTTGAATCTTTGAATTTTGATTGAAGATTCAATTTATTGTTATGGTTTAATCTGTGTGGTGGCATTGTAGTATTAGATGAAAAATAGTCTCAATTAAGTTCGATTTTAGGGTGTGAAATTTTGCGTGAGGGTTAGTTATTTGGTTAATCGTAGTAAGTTTGTGGGAAAGTCTTTAGCTATGTTAACCATGAGATAAGACTTGTTGTTTTATTCGAGGTAGATTTAGTTCGTAGTTAACTACAAGAAAACATAAGATATTTCGACGACTGGATTAGTTGGAAATTCGTTGGAACAAAAGTTTTCTAATAAATTTCCGATCAACAAAAATTGTCAAGAAATGTTAGAAGGAAACACAGATTTGTCAGAAATTCGTCGGAAATTTCTAAACGTTCAGCGGTTCAGATGTTTTGTTAATGGTGATTCGTTGAACTTTGGAAAACTTTTACTAAATTATTGCTTTCACATAGACTTCTATAGTTAGTTAGATAACCCCTGGGAAATATTTAGTTAGAATGTTTTATATGTGATGGGTTTGTGGAACATTCTTTACTAAAAACATGATCACTTCTGGGATTAATTAGGAGTTTTAGCGAAATCCGGATATTTGATGTTAAATCTATGATTAAAACCCCAATTATTGGTATGGTAATGAGTCAGAATCAGATGTCGCAAGCAATATTTGCGGCTGACGTAATTTGCTTAGTGATATTTCTTTAATTAGTGACTCTTAAACGCATTAGCCAAACCTCTATAATTGGATTAACATATTCCCCTACTTGGTCGGTCTCATTATTGTCTATGACCATAGCTGCAACGACGATGATGTTATGTGCCGACACTTGTACACCACTGACCCCAATACAACTTCAATGAGATAAGTTAATAGAGTATCTATCAACTTAGAATGCAGGTAAATTTATGTTATGTAGGAACCAATACTACAAAAATATTGGGTCCTATATTGAAAGCAAATCAACATTTAATTTTTTTCTGCTACTGTTAACAGTTAAACTACTATATAACATTAAATTTTATCACCAACCTTGTGGGGTTTTGCACGTTTTTCATCACTTCTGTTCCT